CAAGAACAGACAAAATTACTTGGAAAGCTTGTCAGAAAAAAAAAAAAAAGCAGACATCTGCCATGCAAGGGGGAAAAAAAATCCCATAGCTTAAAACTGCACAGTGTGAACTGGAAAATCTGGAATGTGAAGTCATAATTAGGGTCTAGACAGCCTCAATGTGTATAATTGCAACCAGTGGATAAAATGCAAAAGCCAAGTGCAGTCAACATTTCTTAATAGTATGGTGAAGCCTTGCATTGATAGGAAAATGTCAGCTTTTATTGGTTCATGAAGAGTTTAAATTCTAATGCAAGTGTGTATAATTTTTTTTTACTGACGGCTCTCTAAAGATTGCCACCTTCTAAGTTCTGTGATACATTTTTAGCAGAGGAGTTAAGCAGATGAGCTCTCTGCTTGTTGAGAATTGTGACCCTCTCATAGGTGGCTGTAAAACTCGCCTTCAGTTACGTTCTTGCAAAAGATGAACTATTTAGCCAACTCAGCCTTATGTTTACTTCACTCTAATAGGAGTATTTAATAAGGGAGCATGCTAAAAAGCTTAGAACTACACCTGCACTACAGAATTATGATTATTTAAAAAACGTGACAGTCATTTAGGAGTGACATTTTTTTCACAAAACATTAATTTGTTACATCTTACATATCCTCAGTGACAGGATATTTTAAGTTGAAAATTAAAAGTCCTCTTGAACAAGTCATGACTGTTAAAAAGTGGAAAAATTTTAAAGGCAAACAGGCAACACTTGTTCAAAAAGCAAGCAATTTTTTTTTCTGTAAGTCATGTATTTACTTGCTTGGCCTTTTTTTTAAATTTAAAATTTAGTTTTAAAAACTTTAAAAAATAAATAAATAAATTATATTTTAGCAGAAGAATTAAAGGCTGTAATTATAGCCTGACAAGTAAGAAGTCATGACGTCAATGAGGCAGTAATTAACAGCCTCTCCAGGAGACAGGAAACTAAGAAAAAAAAAAAAATTTTCTAGACAAAAAATGTACCATTCTACATTTACTTAGTCTTTAAGATTCTCTTTTACGTTATAAAAGTAGCTAGCAAGAGATATGGTGAAAACTTCCACTGCTTAACAGCAAAAACCTTAAAAAAACACAATCCTGTCTCCTTCTGTAACTTTTAAAGCTTTGCTCAACTTTCATTTTTCAGACTAATCTTTTATTCTGGGTATCTGCCACAATCTGTTTTGAAAGAAATAATTGGTAAAATGGGCCAAGATAAAACAAGAAAGTTTTCTCAGAAGTTCTTAAAATAGTTTGAATGTTTCTATCCTTTCGGCTATGACTTGAAATTTGACAAAAGTCAGAGATACTTCAGGAACGTGCCATTTCCAATCATCATTAAAATCTATCCAAAATCTGACCAAGTTATAAGCCTTTGAAAACTGGACACCATTCTCAGCATAAATGCGACAACAGCTGCTAGTTCTATGAAGATTTATGCTTGCATTGGATATTTGTTGGTCTGTCATGTCTGCCATACACTAAAAAAGGAGTAAGCACCGTGTCCACAGAGCATAACCTACACCAGAAAAACAAGTGCCAAGTATTAAATTTAAACTGGCTTCCAGGAGCCATTATAATACTAGCCCAAGAAACTAAGAGCTATGAAAGTTGTCATCTTAATGCATTGCATAATTGCAGTCAGATAGTGTGGAAGGAAAAGAAATATGATCCAATGAGAAAAGTAAAAGAGGTTGTGGACAATTAGTCCATGGGGTGAGGCAGAAGCCCACATTGAAGACTGGTATATCTAGGGAGAAAAAAAAAAAAAAAAAAAAGTACAGATCTCTTGTGTGTTACTGTAAAGCAGACACAAGATTTTGATACACAGTTCTAAGAAAGGGAGAACTAGAGGTGACCACCAGGCATGACTAATAAAGAAGATCAGAATATAATCAGTGTGCAGTTGTAAACATTTCAAGACAGCAGAGTTCAGCATTAACCATGTTAAATTAAATTCCCTGGAGGACATCCAGAAAAGGAGATAAGAGTGATAGAATAGGACTTTTAAATAATCTGTTTATATTCATCTCAAGCCAGAAACAATAGATCATAGGATGAACAAAACTTACTGAATTATTTTCATAAACTGTAACCTAACATCTTCAACAAACAGTCTGTGAGACCACACTAGGGCAAAAGGGGAATAATGGATTTTATTCAACATAAAAAAAAATAGTAAGTTAAAGCTCAGAAATGCATGGGATCAGTCACAAAAAAAGAAAAAAACATTCAAAGAAGAATTTCAATGCAAAAAAGGTTGTCAATTCTGAAAAAGAAAAAAAAAACAAACAACAAAACAAACAACAAAACAAACAAACATGCTAAAGGAGTGACCTAAGAGACTTTAAGGATGAGAACAAGTAAATTATCAAAAGAGCCAAATCAGTAACATCAAGGAACAAGGAAGCACCAAAGCTGGATGTAGCAGAGAGGAGGGATGACGAAGTTGCAGACACACATGGCTGGGACCAGGACAGGGTTACAGAAGCTTTGCTGATGGCAGTTTCAGATGAGTGGAAAGGACACTATCCAAACTGAAGGGAAACCAGGATTGAACTAGAGGCATTTCTGATGAACTCTGAGATGAAGGAAGAATATGGGACTGGCTGTGCTCCCAATTTTGGAATTAGGTCAAAGATGACGTATCTCCTAATTCTAGATGGGTGAAATTTAAGTATTACTTAAGCCTAGTCTAATACCTCTCTCTTGAAATCAATAGTTACATCAACATTACAATCCTGTTCTGTTTAATGAATAAAAAAATCCCAGAAAAACAAAAACCCAAATAAGAAAAAAAAAAGTACAGACCTGGAGAGAGATGCAAGAGGCAGCTCAAGTAACAGATCTTACAAGTCCTTTTTAAAGTATCATACAGCATCCCTGTAAGGTTTTTTTTCCACAATACTTGCTATTTCTTTACATAACTATTAGCATTTATTTTCTGTAAGATATTTCATTTAATCACTTTAAGAAGAAAAATCAGCTAGGATTGAAGTTCTGAGCCACTAGGGTTTACGCTGCAAGTTCTAAACATTTTCACCCTTGGAGGGAACATAACGATATGAAGGTGAGTACTCCTGTACTCTGGTCACTAAGGCTGATTGAGAAACATATTCCCAGACTCAACAGCAGCAGCTCTCATCTTGATGCCCAGTGAAAGCCCGTTGTGGAGATTTAGTGTTTGAGACTGATGGACATTCCTTTCAAGTAGGACGTACTACTAGTTGCATGCACATGCAGAAGCATGATTTATTTAGGAGATTTACACAGAAAAACAGTAACAGAGCATTTACAGCTTACTGATAGTCCAAATTAAGATCACTGCTAAGCCAGCAAAATCTTAAACTGCTGACTTTGACACACTGTTTACATGGCACTGTTAGGCTACTGTTTCTTCTCATAAAGTCCATCTTGTTGGATATGGTCAAGGAAAGATAACTAAAATAACTGTCTGACTCAGACAAAACATGGTATACCAGTTCACAAATGAACCTCTTCTGCATCTTTCCAAACTTGCAATTTGATAGAATCTGTCTATAAGTGAGCAGAAACTTTGTTTTAAAAAAATTACTGTATTCAGTACTCTAAAGAAGAAATCAGATGAATATATGGTAAAACCAGGAAAACTGAACATATTGCTAGATTGTTTTAACCTGGAAAATAAGAGACATGTCTCTTCCTGTAGCTTTATTGAGTATATGTAACCATAAATACGTCTGGATGGCATGCAATTTTAAGCTGCCTGAATAACCTCAGTTTTATAGTCATACTCCAATTTTCAATTAATTAAAAAAAAAAAAAATTGAAAAAGTTTTAGAAATTTAAAACTTAAAAAAAGATTGAATATTATTAGAGGGACCAAGGAATGATTTTGTAGGTAAGCTAAGTAGTCTAGGAAAGTTAATTTGCTTTAAGAATTCATCAGACAAATTTGTTCTACCCATTTTCCTTTCATAAGTTGTATTAAACCATTCATCAGGAAATACAAGAAAGGTCTAAAGTACTAAACAGACTGATTTTCTCTCATGTCTATGCCTATCTTTTTTTACTGTTTCTAATCAAGCTTTGGCTTAATGTGAATAATAGGGATGGTCTGAACTATACCAGAACTATGTCAGTAAGGTATTAAGTAATAATAATATCAAAATATTATGAATATTTTGATATTATGAACATCAAAAGTTCAAAAGTTGTATATTATTTTTTGAAGTTAATTGGTGAAGAGAAAAACCTTGATTATGTTCAGTCACATAAAGCAATACAGAGACGTGACAAAGAAAATTTAATGGTAGGGATGACTGATAAAAATAAATTGACTGTAAAACTTCATGGGTTGTACAGCATTGTACAATAGAAAGACATCTTAATTCTGAATTTATTATCCAAGAGGAAGGAAAAGTATGCTAGGTGATGTCTACACCACAATTTTGTAACAGTATGCAAACACCAACAATAGCAGCAATTTGGTTAAATGGCCCAAAGGTACAGATAACACTGTAGCTGGAATGACAGCAGATTTGCACTGACACCTGCACTATTTTGTATCAAAAGTCTTTTGGGGATGAAAAAAATATCTAGCATAGACATCCTGCTTAAGGTCTGCAAAGTTTTATTATATGTTGTTTTCTGGTCCTTTAATTTATATTTTTGGTGAAGTAGCTATTTGATTGAAATGTTGATAGTCCTATAGAGCATTTTGATTCAAAGAAGAAGAATTAATGAAAGCAATACATAAAGAACAGTACAGCAGACTAAGATATGAGTTTAAAAGTTAAGAAATCAAACAATAGGAAAATCTTTTAAAATTTATGCTTACCTGGATACAAAAGTATATACACCTGAGCTCAGAAAAATAGCTGCTCAGTCTCAGAAGGGCAATTTTCATTAAGAGGACTATAAATTCTCTCAGGAGTGACTGAACCACCGATAAATCATGTACTGTCTGGCAAAACAGACAAAAGATCACTTTTTCAGTACTTACATCAAAAGTGGGTGTGCTTTGCTGTGCACTCTGGTTACATGGTTCTCTGAAGCAGTCAGTGAATGGAAGCAAAAGACCCATTGCAATAATGCGAGAACATAGTTTTTCTGCTTCTTCTTGTGGTGCATTTTCCTGCTGGCTGAAGAGTTTTTCCAGCAGAGTTCGTCCTGCCAAGATGATGACACGGATCAATATGAATTTGTAGCTATCTACAGGACACAATGATTAAGGCATTAAAATTTGTTTCAAAAATCTCAGCTATTAGAATTAAAGATATGAATTAAAAAAGAATTCTTCAGAAAAGTACGTTAGTAAGTTTTTAATATAAAATATTTCTATCAAATAATTTGAACTGATCTGTAGCCTGATTATTTAGGATATTCCAGAAAATATACATTGTGTTGGCTGCTCTGTGGAGTAGGAATGACAACCGTAAGATACTATTGCAGTATCAATTTCTGATTTATTTATATTCAACAATTGTCCTGATGGGAAAACTGAGACATTACCAAGAAATGAATTAACTTTTTCCAAGGGCGTTACACAGAGGAATACCTGGAATGAGCCTTTGGTTTTTGAATTATAGAATAATCTCAATCTTTAAGAAGTTGTGCTCTATTTCTTTGGAAAAACTCTTAATTAAAAAAACAAACAAACAAAAAAAAAAAAACCCAACAAACCAAAAAACCCAAACCAGAATAGTTATCAGGAGGTTTTTGTTGTTAAAATTGCATTTAATACATCTCCAGAGTAACAGAGTGCTCCAAACTAAAACACATTGCCACAAGCAGCAGTTCAGACAAATAAAACCTATGAAGAGCGAGAAGAGACCTTCTCCTATTATTGGGCCAGATTTGATGATCAATGTTTTCTTTGTTATCTCACCAGAGTATGAAAGGAGGGCGTATGTTATAAAGTGTATTACAGGAGACAATGCTACAGGTTTGAAAGGCCATTATCCTGCATGCAGTAAGATAGAATACAAAAATTAGCTATACATGCAGGCTGCAATAAAATCTACATTGTAAGAATATGAAATTGCTCAATTAAGCTCTAAAATGTCAAAAGATGCACAAGTTCAGATTTACAGGATATAAATAAAGAGATGAAATGGATCTACTGGAAGTGAAAAGGCAGATGAAGTAATAAAGTTAATTTCATGTTTTAGTATGAGCTAGCTGTAAATACAATTTGTACCTAAATTAGTTTCTATAGTCTGTTTTTTCCACGCACTCACTGGAAGCCAAAGGTATTTTCCAGAATAAATATACTGCATTAAGAAATCATTTTAGTGTCATTTAAAGTAGTAATAATAACAATTATAATACTACTGGGTTTTACATACAAATGCAAGATTTTTTTGAATGTTGATTTTATTAAAACTGTAAAATATCCCAGACTTTCTGAACAAACTAAAAAGACTTTTCTCTTTCATACATCTGTATGCAATTTAGAAATGGTATTGTAAATGACATTTAGCCTGAAGTTACTGTGTTAAATGCTTGTGGCAATATAGCCTAAAATAAACAATACATTAAAATTTTAGAAGTTATTACAAAGATTTTCCTCTTCACATCTAAAAATCTGATAATTCTGAATTATTTGTCCAAGTTTCATAGCCTTTTATACAGACACAATTCAGTACATTCAAGGACATAAGCTAGTGGATAAACTCATGACACACACAAGTTTTGCTATGCTTGCTGTTTCCTTTGCCTCTGCTCCTCCATCATCTATAAAGTGATGGTAAAATAATTGCTGATTCAACATCTTCCTCTATTCAGCTAAAGTTCAGTTAACAAATCTTAAATGCCAATTAATTGAAAACAGGCTTTCATACTGACTGACATGCACTGTGATATTTAACACAAATTTACCCACAGCTGCAAAAATGTAGAAGAATCCTCTACCTGAAGAAACACAACAGCATGAAACCATGGAAGTGAAATGTAAGTAGGTAGCTATCTGTTGAGAAATGTTTTTATGATTCAAGTAATTTTTCTTTGGGATTGTAGTTGCCTGTTTTCATCTAGAATGCACAGAAGAAAAAATAAAAAATACAGAGCAGGAGCAGTCTGCACACATAAAAAAAGACTGTGCAAGAAAACTACACATTTCTTCAAGCTATATTTAATATTTTAATCTTATCCATGACTTTTGAATGTCAACTTGAGATATCTTTTCTGTGTGTTTGCATGTTTCAACATTTAAATAATCTTTTCCTCTTTAGAGAGTCTTCTCCTGCACATCCAGAAGCAGAATAGCCCCTTGTCTCCGCCTCAACTTCTGCTTTAACATAATCAAAAGGTATAATATCCATAAATGACACAAAAGGAAATGAGGCCTTTTTTTTTTTTTTTCTCCTTAATCCACCCATTCATTTGCTAATTTTTGTAGGACTTGTTAACAGTCTTGTTCAAGATCAAATACTTTGTTCAGGGCTTACTCATCATCTAGTTGCAGTTCAATTTGTATCGTGGCTATTAACTACTGTTGCTTAGTGATGAGTAACTCTTGTCTAAATATACTGTAGCATTTAGACACTATAGAATAAATATATATATATGAAAATAGTCATTAAAGAACTTAATTTCTCTTGCTGTAAACTTCATTACTTATGTCATTTTCTCCACCTCAGCCTGAAGTGTTCTCTCCAGTGTGTTGGTAGTCTTTAAATAGTTTTTTCTACCCTGTTTATTCTATGTTATTAGCTAGTATTTTTTAACCTAAAAGGACAAATTCTTTAACTCCAACTAACTTTAGTATTATTTATTTTTTATCTGAACAATATGCAGATTAATAAGATAAAGCTAATATCGTTCAGATAAAGCCATGCTCTAACATAGCTTATGTGTTCCTCACAATTGCCATGGAGACCTGAGAACAGATGCAGAAATCTGAGTTACAGTTATACATTTCACCAGTTCAGTTAACACATTTTACAAAAGGCAAGCTGAAAACAGTTCAGTTTTCCATACATGGAGAAATTGCTTCACTGAAAACAGATGTGAAAAAAAAAAAAAAAAAATCTGTATAAGAAATGTTTATGTTTCAAGAACTTATTAAGCGGTATATCCAGAATGAACTGTTAAGGCACTGAAGTTTTTACCTAAAGAGCTAAGGTTTATCATCAAATTGAATGGTCGCTGTACAAATCAGAACCACTCATCCTCCATCAAAAAAACCAGCCAAAGTTAGAAAAGAACCATACATACTTGCTTTAGAAGTGAGCGAGGAGGTAAACCCTACCAAAACCAAGTGTGTCAATAGTGAGGATGTCACTCCTTTCCCCAGGCCAACACCGCGCGGTGCTGCGCTGCCCGACGGATGGAGTCGCTGTGGTACTGCGGCTCCAGACAGGGCTGGAGCTGTCTGACATGGGAGAACAATATTTGAAAGCTACCTTTTACCAAAAATTAGTTCCTCTCTTAAAGGCATTTGATAGTGCTCTTTCGCCCACTCTCAGGTTAAAGGCAGTTGTCACGACAGTGGAAGCATTCCAGCTCCAAAGTTCTCTGAGCCCCGGGGGTGCTAGTGCTGAATCTGCTCCTGCCTCACCATCCTCTGACTCTACCTGTGCCTGCACTGCTGCCAAAGCAAGAGATGTTTGTGAAGCAGCACAGATCATATTTATGATTTTGATTCAGGGCAAGATGAAGGTTATATTTTTGTTTACATATAGCAAAATATCTAACACTGGACTTTACAGGCTTTTAAATACTTCAGAAACAGAAATGGTTTGCCAGCACCCTATCTATCTGCATTACACATACTTGGGATTAATCCAAATTAAAATGACTTTATGTCTATATGTGTGAAATTGATTGTACAATATTAATCCCTAAATCTATTCATTAGACTACAACAGCAAAATAAAAGCACAGCCATATTTAATGCATGGGCTAACTTCCAGTCAACTTCAACTGCAAGATTTTGAGCTACAATTTTTCATCTTTGGTCTATAAATAAAATGCAACTCTAACAGCCTTTTCCCTCAAACACCCTTAATCACCTCGTGTTCATAACTTACATGAGGTAGTGCCTTCAATAGGTGAAGATGGCTGCTAATAATCTGGAATAATTAAATGATTAATGTTTTCATAATTATTAAATCATGAGCAATTTCTGTTACAGGAACTTAAATGTAATGGTAAAGCAATTTCTTTGTTTGCCTTTACATGCCATGAAAACAGTAAAGAACAAAGATCTCTCATATCTTTTTTCCCCCACAAAAAGCTAAATTCCCTTTTTTGTGTATTTTAAACCACTTTTCTTCCAAAAAATCCCAGATCAAAAATTTCCTGAAGCCTATTCTCTCCTTTCCCCTAGATATTAGTTTGATGAGGGATGGTAGGCATACTAAGGTTTGAATTAGAGAAGAACTTGAGCTAGGCTTCAGACATAGATCATACCAGTATTCTGAGGACCTTGCCTAAATTCTGCAGCAAATAAGACGACTATAAACTCTTATTTTTCAGGATCTTAGAATGACTCATTAAATTCCAGTAAGGGATAAAAGGACTCATTCTTTTTTCTTTTCCTACAAAGGATTACACAATTAACTAACTAAAAGAATGGGGACATGAAATTAAGTTTGGAACTATCAGGTATTGTGGCCTTCTGTGGATATCTTCTGATAATTTTGCTGCCATGGCTCAACCTGGGTCTTCTGGCTCAGGTTCTATATTCCAGGTTCTCTACCTGTGCCACTTTCTCCCATTGCCATGAAGGTGAAGCACTATGATTTGGCCTCCTCCTGTATGACATTGCAGGTCTTCATCTTATTCCCAAGACCAGGACTTGTGTAACACTGTTCATCAAAACTACCTCTGCAGAACATGTAAGCTATTCACTGTGGAATGAAAATTCACAAGTTCCAGTATGTTTCCATTCACATTGTCTCCCTTTTTGAAAAATGCAGGTAATTTTATTCTTGAATGATCTTCAGCTTCAGATTTACTGCAACCATATTTACTCAAATGCAAGGTGGAGGGAAAAAGGAACCTACCCCCAACAAAGGTCATCCTACAAACATTATTTCATATAATAATGAAACACTGTAAAATATTAACTATTTTTATATATATTATGAAATACACATATAATAATTTCATATACTAACACCACTCAGTACCAGCCTGACACAGCCACAGATTCTCTCTTGGTC